GCCAAATATCACGGTCAGTGGCGTTTCTTGGGGGGAGGCCAAAGTTATCAGGGGGCCCAACTGAGTTGACTGGAGGTGAAACATTCACAACACTGGCCAACCAAAAGGAAACAAAGACATTGTGTGTTTCGCTAAATAAGAAAAGCAAGAGCACACTCTTCTATTGTAAAAATGGTGGTGTTGCTCTGTGTGAGGTGGACTGCTTCAAGAAGTGCCACGCGCATCAGAGTGTATCGTAAACTGTGAAGTGACGCAGTTCAAACTCGTGTACAGTCTGAACAAAATATTGTATATGGTGTGACTATATTTACAATATCACCATGATTCAAGGTTGAAGAAAAAACAAAGGGTAAGTCCTTTGGAATTTCATAACATATAATATATATACATAACACATATATATATATACATACATATATACACACACATATATAACACCTCATTGGTGTCTCCACCTTATTGTGGTGAGGGGGTCTGAGTATGCCAAGGACCCTGAGAGCTATAACAGCGGTAGCGTAGCTATTGGTAGGGCCTCCCTTGCTGGACAGGTCAAAGGGTAGGCATCAGATGAAGAGAGACACCAAAAACCAAAAACTGATGACGAAAGCAGCGTCATCAGCAGCGACTTGAAGCACAGAGCAAATGATGCTCGAGATGGTTCAAGTTTGTATAGCAACAGGCGTGACCAGACTGGTTTGAACGGCTGTTGTACTGCGATGTAGAAAGCAAATGGAAAAACTACCATATTATCATTTTTCCTGGATAGTCTCTTTCCAAACACAGAGAGGTTTCCTCTGGAAACAAAACAAACCGGAGGGGGGGATAGAAGTGACCAGAAGACGAGAAAGAAACGTAAGAAGATGCTGGATGACTTTGGGGACAGAAGAGGATATTCTTATTTGAAGGAGAAAGCTTGAGATCGCATTAAGTGGAGGAACTGTTTTGGAAAAGACTGTGGACCTGTCATCTGACAGATTACTGATAAATGAATGAATGATAAAGATTATATTTTGCATTTAATGACAAAATAATCACAGTTAATTTTCGTTTGTAAAAATTGCTCTTTTTGAGTATATGTAGAAAATTTTATTGTCTTTCAGACTGTTTTTAGTTCGTATTTCTATGTTGCATAGAACGGAAAATATGTATTTTTTTTCTGAAAGTTTGCAATGTTAATTAATTAGGAAGATTTAAATACCAGCCGCAGAGGGCCCCCGGGAATTTAAAAGTCCGTACATTAAAGGTTAAAGTGGTCAATAAATGCAATTACCACTCAAAACAATGCCTTTAGTCATTCATACATATGACAATATTACAATGCTGTCAAACACAGGACAACCACTTTAATTGTCCTATTGATGATGACTGCAAACAAGGTCCCCTTAACCCCTTTTCGTAATATGTCGATATATGAGGGAAAGTCAGAAATTATCCGCATTTTTGCCATAACACATCTTTAGGTTTGTCACACTGCCTTCTGCGCATGCATGCTTAAAGTTGGTACTACTATGGTCACGTGATCGAAGTTTGACCTTGGTCATGTCATTTTCCTTGATGTTGTGACAGTGTAAACATGGCTGCTCTGCTAGCAGTGTGTACCAAGGAGGAACAAAGAGCAGTGATCCGATTTCTTTGGTTGGAATGTGTGTCAGGGGCCAACTGTGCTACCACATGACTCCATAAATAACATGTAGGATTTAAAATCTGATTTACCAAATAAAATGTGCCTTATGTTTCAGCCCAATAGGTCATCCATGAAAGGCTTACATGTTAGAGAGCAAACTGCTTAGTATACATTTATTCCTAGCCAATGTACAGTAACTGACTTGTCCTATATCATGTAACAATGATCTACAGAGATGAAATAAATAAATAAAATAAATAAACATAACACGGTGTACTTAGTTTTCTTTAGCCTGTGTTGGTGGGGACATCACCAAATGCATTCCAATTTTTCATACTTCTCCATTCCATGCCACTATGTGCAATGTGCTGTGTTGGTGATGTGGTTAGTGTCTGTGGTGGTACCGGCAGGAAGATGTGTGTATCTAATATATAGTTAGGGGCATGTGTGTTATCTTGTGCAAATACTATATTGAATAGAATGTCTTTTGTCTTTGCTTTGTTCACCTATGAGTAGACTTATCTTTTAATATTCATACATGTACATGTAGAAATATCCTCTGATCATGATTAATAGCCTCCCTTTTTTGAGTACCTCATAATATCCACTATATTTTGCATATGACCATACTGCTGTTTATATTTTAGGATGTGTTGTCATTGGTGATTTCTCTCTAACGTTTTTTGTAGGCTGCACCATAGCTCAAGCGGTTAGACGCTGGCTTCCCATCGCGGTGGTCCAGGTTTGATCCCGGGTCTGGTCAAGTGGGATTTCTGGTGAACAAAGTGGCACTGGGGCAGGTTTTCTCCGAGTACTTCGGTTTCCCCTGCCAATCTTCATTCCACCAAATTCTCCATCATCATAATCACCTGGGGCAGGCTACAATACGCCAATCAGTGGCCGCCGTGCCGAGTGGACCCAGTTGGACTCCACGTCCCACTAAGTGAATTAAAAAAAACAACTTATTTTTGTACCGCTTACAAGTTCTTTGTTACCTGATGTTTAGTAACTGTCCTGCCTGTCCAGCAAAAAATAACACAAAATCTGTCAGTATGACAACCAGTCACATACATGCAGGAACAAAGGCAACTCCTGAAGCATCAGGTATATTAAATGTACTTCAGGTAATAAGCGATAGGTAATGTCCAGCATATCTGTATAATCTGTCAACCACTGCCACAGCCCTTTACAGAATCATTATTCATCCTGTCACACATTCTCAACATAAGGGCAACTCTTTCTCATCACAAAGATACTGATAGCAACAAAGTCAGAAAACATATGATAATCTCCAACATACATACTGGGAACCCTACGAAGTAGTACCAAAGATTGGATGAACAAAGAAATTGTGCAAGATATTTCCTGCAACAGAATTTCTCTCAAACATTCTTCAGTTTACACAGTATTTAATTTCACCTATATTAGATCTGCTTAAAAGAAAATGGCAGTGGTACATTAAAAGCAACATTCAACATATTAGACCTATCTAGAGACATTTCAGAAAAAGCTCTTAAAAATCCAGTCGACAGCACAGTGGAGTTGTTTCATGTTCACAGACAAAGAGAGAGGGAGCAGAATGACAACTGGTGCTTCTGTATGTTTGTGATACCTGCCTAACAGTAGACATCCAGAGACATACAGCTCACCTCTGGTTCAGCCTTTATTTCTAGAAATGTTATCGGCATAGGATCCTCCTCATCCTCTTCTTCTTTTTCTGTGTCTGAGACTTTCTCAGCTTTTATATTCATGGCCTCATTTGCATCAGGGGATGTTGGGTTCATGTCACCGAAGTTCTGAAAAACCAACATATCTTTATCAGTCAGACTGTACAACCCCATTACCTGAAGCAGTGTACGCTCTCATTATTATGGCAGTTTTTATTACATCTAACTCATAACTGCTGCTCTGTACATATTTCTTCTCTACACATTTCAGCATCATTACAAAGTATTAAGTTCATAGTGCAGGGAAATACCTTAGAAATTAATGCTTGCTACAGCAGTAAAAAATACACATGCTTTTTACAGTATATAAAAGGTTTAGTACTGTGTTCACAAATGTTCATCTTGGCTCTACATCCTGAGACAAACAAACCCAGCCCAAACCCCACCACAAATTATTTCCTCAAAATCTGTCTGAATGGTATTCTTCCAACTGCATAGGATCTAAGAAGTGATACTGTTCTTTCACGTTTTCTGCCCGAACTTTTGTATGCATTTCTCATTCTCCCATGTGTGCTATCTGACCAACCCATTTCAATCTTGTTGAACTGATCGCTCTCCTAAACAGTATACCAAACTGTTATCATGTGTATAACCATGCATAAAAAAAAGTCACCACACAGGTTATGAAAACTAACTGAAGCTTGTCACAATACATTTAGTTTCTTTGGCCTCTGACAGATGACAAACACAAAACACATACCATGTTTTCTCTTGCAGCAGGAAACATTTCTTTAGCTCTCTGTAATATAATCCTTGGCACTCTTCTTGCATGAGAATGCAGAATGCTTTGCGAACATACAACTCATTCCTTGCACATGTTTTCTGGGCTGCAAAGGAATTCGCTTGCAACTATCCTAGCGATGAAACACCTTTTCTTCTAATAAATGTACCAATAACTAGCCAGGAAGTTTCTGCAGTCTGTCAGCAGACATACTGATCATGATCGTGTACACCATACTGTATGGAAACAAGTGCTTATATGGGATGTTGAGTTTCCTAAGGCAGAGGACTATGATCCTGTCTTTTGCGGCGGTGCTCAGAAAAATAATCTCAATTACAAGTCACAACAACTAAATAATAGATTTGTGTCAAACAAATGTCTTTCAAGTGATCATAATAATTTCCNGGTTTCCTTAGGCAGACGACTATGATCCTTACTGTCTTTTGCGGCGGTGCTCAGAAAAATAATCTCAGTTACAAGTCACAACAACTAAATAATAGAAAGATTTGTGTCAAACAAATGTCTTTCAAGTGATCATAATAATTTCCTTGAGTACACTCAGCTTGCATAAATAATCATGCAAGTTAAAACCGTAACAAATCTCTTCCGCCACCTCTTTAAAACGCTCGGCGCTCTCGACCGCTATCAACGCCCTTAACATTCCTCACTTCCTCACCGTAGTCCTTCGCAGTCCTTTAGTCCTTTACCGGTGTTTAGTACAGTTTTTGTCCGCTGGTCAGCACGCAGCACAAAGACGCCCAATTACGTGTGCACAGATTAAAGACACTATACTTTCCACGGATCAATACACTCTCTCAGAAATTGTACCCTTTATAACAGACACTCTGGTTCACATCGGTGAGTAGACTAATGTAATGTAGGGAACCTGGTAGGGTAATGTTCCTTACCGTGGGCACCCCTTTAATTTCAAACTCATAGGTATTAATAATAATTGATTCGAATTTCCAGGTTGGGAAAACGGAACTAAATGTATGTCTTCTTTATAAACACTGTAGTTAGCCTCACATTGCTTATCCAGCACTTTCTATTCGTCCACGAGTCTTGCTCCCATTACTTCACCCAAGTTTTTGATGGATTGAATGAATTATGTTGGCCGAGCAGTTGCGTAATAATTAAGGGGGTGATTGTCACTTGGCTAGCTCACCGTGTACGTATTCCAACCACAAAGAGCGAATATTCGTTACAGGATATTCATTCAAATGTACGAGTATATACTGCGTATTCCAAACAAAGCTGGTAGACGTAAATCTTGCCAGCAGCTTCTTAACAAGACAGAATGTCAACTCAAATCAGCTGATTTTCATTTCGTGCATCCTGTTGTGCATCATACAAATCTTTTATAAGTCCGTCACAACACAATACAGTGTTCAAGGCTAAATTAGCTTTACTACATGTTTCGGCTATTCATAGCCATCATCAGGCAAATACACGATCATGTTTACACACTAGCGAGCTGCAATTGCGTCTGGATACTTGACTATCATATTATAAAACACATGGTATAAAAATTACAATGAAATATAAACTTACTATAAAACGAGTTATTTCGTAAAATAAGGCTAAAATTACTCAAGTGATAATCTTTATCACGAAGTCAGTCGTTGCTATCTTGTATTTTCCCGCGGACGTAGTATATTCTAGACTTTTATATGATAAACTGCTTGGAGGCCCGTGCAGTATAGTTCTAACATTAACTGTCTGGCCGGTGCCTCAGTCATCGTACGATATATGTATGTCCGTTTTGTAGGGAATACAGATTGCAACAGTGACGGCTACAGACCTAAAATCCGCTTACTCCTCCTCACAGCCGAATGGCCACGTGCGCCTTCAAAGACGACGAATCGCATGTTGATCTTGAAACTACTTACAGCCACTGCAGCTGTCTCTCGAAATGTCCATATACGAAGTTGGGGGGTCGAATCCCTTTCAAAATTTACGGCATGTTAGCTACAGCGGACTTTTATTCCTGCAGCTCCTTGTCATTACATATCCTACTACAGTCACACATACTTTGTGTGCTGTGCAGTGCATACACATTGAACTATATATCCATTGTGCATAAGTGCTAATGTTATACTGTAACCAAGAAACAATTCAGTTCATAAAATGTATATAACTATCAAACTCACTGCTGACTTCTGAAGACGTGAATTTAAATTATTCTATCCACTTGGTCTTCTTGAGTATCCCATCACAATCCTTTAGGATATAACAAGTTTATGTAATATAATTTACATACTAAAGTATTTATAAGTTTATTTGAAAGTGATTCCCCAGGAGATTGTTCTACTCTGAAGCATAAATACTGGCTTTGGGCCCTACCCAGCCTCCTTTCCAAAGTGTACTGGGGGTTTTTCCCAGGTGGTGGTCGGGGTTTACAAGTGACCACTCACCTTCATCTAGTGCCAGGGTCAAGAATGATGGAGCTACACATCCACTCCCTCCACATCTTCACAGCTCAGTGTTTAATTAAGCACAACGACAATTTTACCATTACACTTAATCTGAAAATAGAATGCCATTCGATCCCACATGTAAAGCGGCAAGAATCATGCTTCTGTTGCCCTAGTTAGCTATGTGAACTCTACAATGGATATATATTATGTGCAAATAATTGAAAACCCTCACTGTCAAACGGACATAACTTGTGTTTCCTTCTGTTGCTGCTCGGATTAGTGTCAATGTGCCAGAAATGTTTGTTAGCTAACCTGTATTTGCTACCAGAATACTTTATAACTGGCTTCCGAACACACAGACTTATGTCTTTGGTATTCTGTGGAAAATGTATCAGTTTTCCATTAAGCACATTTATGTACAGTTATAAACATTCAACATGACACACATACCTACAACACAACCAGGCTTCGCCTTCAAACTCAACAATGAATGATAACAAAAATGAACAAGTTAGTAATCTGATGAGCATATTAGCACGCAGTTGCACTCCAGACTCATATTCAAGAGGTGCTCAATTCAATTATCGGCTGGGACACCAGCAATCTCAACTCTCTTTTTCAGGCATTCCTTATTCGCTGCAGGTAAATCATGAGCAAATATTCCATTAAGGCACAACCCTTTCATTTCAGATCATTCCAAGTTCATCACTTATCAGTCAGTATTCCATCTGGCACTATGTAGTCTATAGATATAAAGAGAGTCGTAAAATAACACATAAATAAGATGCTCATGTGCATACTCACACTAACATAGCAATCGGATAGCAATCCGAAACTCTAATTATTTCCAGCAGAAACTCGAGTCTGTCTCGTCTTCTCCTTACTGTAAAGATACAAGCTTCTAGGTAGTGTTCACAGCCTCACTGCTCATATATCATTTTTTTTTTCCAGCTTTCACATTTCTTGTTCTCCAAAGTCTGTACTGCTATTTCACTCTTAGTCAATCTATTATGGTCTATCCATGTGGCTCTCCATTGCCATCCACATCTGCTAGCCTCCATGCTGCGCCAACTGCACCAAGTGGCTCTGCTTTTCTCGGTGTAGTGTGTATTCATAACATGATGTAAAATTTATGCATTAAAACAGATTTTCTGGACTAATGGAACAAGAGGTCTCAAAATAATAATTTGCAATAATTATTACTCACTCAGCACAATGGAGTTACTTACTTATTAGTAAATAATATATTTCTGATACTAAAAGTTATATACTTGCAAAAATACATTATGGAGTTTATGACACACTGCCTGGCTGGATGCAAGATGTGAGTCCCTGGCATACATACACAAAACATAATGCACTACCTCCATATATATAACAGGAGTCACCATACTCAGCACCAAGACTGTGGTAGTGTTCAAAAGTTCAGGAACCAGAAACAGACATGCACTAGATGGCAGAGATGTTTGGATACACAGTCTCCGTGAAGCAGATTTCTTTCTCACATTTAATCCATTCGAAACAGACGATAATACGTTGTGCGTTCAAGTTCTAAGGTCTCCGATTTTTTTTTCTCATACAATAATCATACAAAAAATTTGAAACTTCTGTCACTTTTCAACGTAATCTCCCTGCAGCCGTACACATTTTTCACAACGTCGATGCCATTATTCCATGGCCGCTGTGAACGCTTCTGTAGGAGTCTGTTTTCACTACTGGAAAATTGCTGATGCAATAGCGGATTGAAAAACGGCATCCATGTCTCATCCATTGTCACAGTTGATGAAATGAAAGTCCCATTCATGCCTTCATCATTGCCATGCGTGCAGCCTTGTGGTCATCCGCCAAAATTCGTGGAACACACCTGGAGGACACTTTCCGCATTCGCAGGTCTTCATGCAGGATTTTGTGCACAGATCCCACGGAAATGC